CGGACTCGATCGTTTACTCTCATTCGCGGAAAGTGCTTGTCACTGCGACTGGTCGGAGATCAGGTTTGTCAAATTACGTTCCGTTTTCGTCGCCTTTTCCGATTTGATCTAGATTGACAGAGGTCCGACGAGACGGCTGCTGGCTCAGCCTCTCGCCGTTCAAAAATTTAAAGACTCTGCAATTTCGATTGCATCAAGGTCCGACCGTTCGCGACCTTTGCCCTTTTTCCTGTAGGGTTTTCCAACCTTTGCAGGCCCTTGACTAGGGGAGTGGACATCGACCACCACCTGCTGTTGGATCGGTTGTCCTTCCTTCTGTCTGGGAGTCTGTCCTATTGGACCACCCTGTAGATGGAGGATTTCTTTGAACCTTTACCCCTATTTTCCATTTTTGCAGCCGCTTTCGCTGAAGGGTTCTGCGGTTTGGAACTATTTTGCTTCGGACGCCCCTCCTTACGAGGTGGTTCAGTCTGCTTTGACCGTCCTTCAGACATAGGACTTTTCCTATCTTTGGTTTTCCTTTCCATTTGGGCAGCCACTCTCTCCGGAGGGTTCTGCCTAGGAATCGTTTTATTCCGACTGTTTCTGGGGGTGTTAGGACTTGGACGTTGGAAATTCGTCCCTTTGGGTTGCCTCAGCGGACATTGACTCTGGTGATGGCTCCTTCGCAAGTCCAACACTTTGGCTGTCTAGGTGGTTGGTCAGAATTTCGTGACTGGCCGACCTCTTTTTTCACAAAAGAGGACTGGGCCGCCTTTCCTCCCAATGCACCAGCTTGCAAATTTGCGTAATCACCCTCGATTTCACTCGCCACGTTGGACAGCTCGGCCAATGTGCTCACTGGCACAGCTCGCAGCATCATCCTTAGCTCCGGTCGTAAAAGTGCTGTCACTGTACGACGCGTTCACGTGGAGACGTGGTCGGAGCAATTCGTTCGAACAATCCCTCTTTGGCAGCAATAAAAATCTCAGTTGGCTCGGATTTTTGCGTTTCACCAAACAATTTGGGCCTCAAGGCACAATGCTTTTCCGGTGAGTCGAATTCTTTTAAAATTCGCGCACGGACATCGTCGTACCGAATGTTCAAGTGTTTCCAATGAGCAAACAATTTTTCCGCTTTGCTTCCTTGTTCTAACGCTATTTCCGCCCATCCTCCTCGCTGGGAATATCATATCGACGGAAATAACGATCCAGTTTTCCGAAGAAAACCTCTGGATCTTGCCAATCACGTCCACTAAAGCGGTAACCTCGGGGGAGGGGACTGAGTCGCGTTTTGATTGATTAAAAGTCGAGCTATCCCCGCCGTTAGACTTTGCAAGTCCCCTACCTGATCCTGCAAACTCTGTGCGACACTGCTGTGTCCAATGGATGCTCAGGCGGTCACCTTGCGCAGAAATCGGTCCCTTAATAAATTATTATCACCCCACCATACACTGAACCCCCTAAATCACAAACATTACCATTACAAATATCAATTCCAATCATATCATCAATATAAATCGAGTCATTGTCATGTAAAATATTGTTATGATTCACATTCACGGGTGTACAGCATTCAGCCGATTACTCTGGTTATAACACTATTATTGTTTGAATAGCAGGTCTTCCATTACTACCTTCATGGAAGGCCCCACGTTGGGCGCCATGACGTCTACCTCCTATATTATCGTTTAATTTCGATACCACCACGACATCCCCGCGTACTATACACTTCCTGTCGAACCGTGTATGTGCTTCATCGCACTTTAGCTCCACGGTGATGTTTTGGTATCTCTGACCAACACTGTCGGTCGCTTGGGGGTGCGCGCCCACGATCGCATCGCGTGTAGAACGCGTGCTTGCGATCGCGGCACGTCGCACCGCGTCGGCATCCTCGCTGGGAGGCCGACCTGGGGATTCTGATTCGAATCTAGGTTGTCGATCCTCGGATCGGCGACACGACCAAGTACTTGTTGAGACTCTTGGTTGGAGGAGACGGCAGGACAGTCGAGGAAGGCTCCCTTTCTGCACCGAGAGCTGGTGCCGGGCTGAATGACTGTATCACCGGGCGCGGAATTCACGTCAAGTGGAGAAGTCACACGGAAATCACTAACATCGCACCTACCTTGACCCTGGGCCTGTGTGGCTGAACGGAGGGGGGCTGGAGAAGTCAAGTCTCCTATGACCTGACTGCGATGCGTGGTCCCTGCAACTCCTCTTTTCTGCATACAGCGTCGACACCCGTCATCGATGAGGGAGCGTGGGCGATCCTCGCGCTGTCGTCGTGTCGTCTTTTTATTTCTCGATGTCATCTTCACGGAGCTCGGCCTGTTCCGTACTGCTGATGATATCCAAGGTAATAATGCACAGAGTGAACGTTCTTGCGGAGATGATAATCTCCCCGTTCTACCCCTTTCGTGCCAACGTGAGTGTAACCTTTTTCTCTCAGTGAAGTGCAGTTGTGGGGGTTAAAACCACCTTTGTTTTTTTTTTTAAACAATATGGCAACCCCACAACTCACAATAGGTATTCGGTGTATTTCGATATTTCGACCCGTTTCAATACCCCACCCGAGGGGTTAGCAACTCGAATTTTATTTACGTCCCGCGGACCTATCCGTTCGCGACGGCGGTCGGGCCAGGAGTGCGCGGCTCGACTGGCTGTATCGCTGAGACGGAACGATTCGGCGTTCTCGGCGGACTGCTCGGATGCTGCTAGGCAGAGTGGTCGCGGAGAACTGGAGAGGGCATCGTGGTATCTGCTCGCTGCTGAATCTCTTCGATCTCTCTCGAATCTGTTGAATCTGTTACTCCGATCAAATTTTCGCGTTCTTATAAAGGATTAGGGCGGACCGAACACTGAGCGCTCGCGCTCGCTGGCGTCGAATCTCAAAAAGGCCCCCTAATCACTCTTGTGCAAAAAATGATCGTTTTTGATATTCTTTGATTTGACGAAACTTGGCACGATTGAAGATCTGAACGTCTGATTCTGAATCTGCAGTTACTTTTTTCCTAACTTGTCGTTTTCGAAAGTTATAAAGCGCGGTTCGCGACAGACGCTGAATTTACCTCTCACATTCATTCGACATTCGTTCTCTTAGCGAGATCGTCGATCAGTGATTGCAAAAGATCGCGCGTATACAATAATCTGTCTCCTCTTCACGACTCGTAAACATGGCAGATACGGAAAACCAGAATTACGCCGCGTCGGCTACGGCTACCGCGAATTCTGCGTCGCCGACGTCGCAGTCGTCTGCGAAAAAGGAGAAAAAACCGAAGAATCCGAGGGCGAAGCCGTCTCATCCTCCTACTAGCGAAATGGTCATCAACGCAATTAAAGGATTAAAAGAGCGTGGCGGGTCGTCTCTGCAAGCTATCAAGAAATACATAGCCGCTAATTACAAAGTAGACGCTGAGAAAGTTGCGCCTTTCATCAAGAGGTACTTAAAATCGTCCGTCGCGTCTGGAGCTTTAGTACAGACGAAAGGCAAAGGAGGAGCTTCCGGATCGTTCAAGCTAGCTTCGTCATCGGCTGGCGGAGCGTCGAAAACTTCATCATCGTCAGCCGCAAAGGTTGGCGAAAAGAAGAAGAAATCCGCGACCGGCTCAAAGAAGAGCGGAACCGTAGCTAAGAGAGCTAGCGGTGCGAAATCTGCGAAGAAGGCATCTCCGAAGGCTAAGAAACCGGCGGTGGCCGGTGGTGCGGCCGAGAAGAAAGCTTCTCCAGCTAAGACAAAGAAAAGTGGGAAATCGGCGACGTCGGCTAAAGCTTCTTCTGCTGCACCTTCTGCAGCGGCTGCAAAAAAATCTCCTTCGAAGGCGAAGAAATCCAGCAAGGGAGCTCCGACCAAGAAGCCAAAAGCACCAAAACCGAAAACGGCGAAGGCTGCAACATCGCCAAAAAGGAAGGCCGCTTCACCCAAAAAGAAGAAAAAAAAAAAAAATTTAGACGTGTTGCAACGTCGTAGATTACGGCTACGTCGGTTCGAGACGTTATATTTATGCGAGAGGATGCTATACGTCCCCGCGGATTGAAAATGGCCCTTTTCAGGGCCACCACTATTACTATAAAAAGGATACAGAATATTTACGAATTAGCAATTTTGTATCGAAATATACATGTACAACTGCGGCTCGTACGTGCGTTGATGTTTTTTTTTTTTTTTTTTTTATTAAATTCGAGTATTATTCGTTTACGATTAGGTATTTATAAGCAAGTGGTAATGTTAGGCGTCGTCACCATCGATATTTGCTTTTAAGGGTATAAATAAGTATGTATTGTGTTTAATTAAACGAATGAACGTTAAACAGTCGATTGCGTCGTAAGGATATCCCCTTTTTTTACGCTTTCGTTTACCATTAAATAATCCGGTCGGGTCTTATATCAGACGTTATTGCTTTAGTGGTGTATGTATATCACGAATAATCATCTGGTATTCAAGTACCAATAATATATATGTTGCGCGTACGGTGATATCATTATCTTTACTTGATAACTTTAGTGGTTCTGAAAAGAACCGTTTTTATGTTGTAAGTTGTTGTTGATGTTGTTGTTGTCGTCGTAGTTACATATTACTTCGAACTGGTGTACTTGGTTACGGCTTTGGTACCTTCGCTGACGGCGTGCTTGGCCAATTCTCCTGGTAGCAATAGTCGAACGGCTGTTTGAATTTCTCTGCTAGTTATCGTGGCACGTTTGTTGTAATGTGCCAATCGGGATGCTTCCGCTGCGATACGTTCGAAAATATCGTTGACGAAGCTGTTCATGATGCTCATCGCTTTGCTGGAAATACCGGTATCTGGATGTACCTGCTTCAGCACTTTGTAGATGTAAATTGCGTAGCTTTCCTTCCTCCTGCGTTTCTTTTTCTTATCAGACTTGGAAATATTTTTTTGAGCCTTACCGGCCTTTTTAGCTGCTTTACCGCTAGTTTTGGGTGGCATCGCGTTTCGATTTACAAAAAGTACGATCTTTACTGACACAATATCGTGATCTATAATGGAAAGGTGTGCGGATAAACGGCGAGCTTTAACAGCCACGACGTTACCGACATAGACTCCGCCCCTTACGGGTGACCGACAAACGAAAACGGTGATTGGTCGGAGTAGTTATATAAATATACTCGTACCTAAAGACATTGCCATTCTATTCTATTAATTCGGTCAACGACAGCAGATTGTAGTCGTCGATTCGCAAGTCAAAAAAGAAAATAATAAACAAATAAACATGTCCGGACGAGGAAAAGGCGGAAAAGTGAAAGGAAAGGCAAAATCCAGGTCTAGTAGGGCCGGTTTGCAATTCCCTGTAGGTCGTATACACAGATTATTGCGTAAAGGAAACTATGCCGAACGCGTCGGTGCCGGAGCTCCTGTGTACCTTGCCGCCGTTATGGAGTACTTGGCAGCCGAAGTGTTAGAGTTGGCCGGCAACGCTGCTCGCGACAATAAAAAAACCAGGATCATTCCACGTCATCTGCAGTTAGCAATCAGGAATGATGAAGAATTAAACAAGTTACTTTCCGGCGTCGCGTAACTATCGCCCAAGGCGGAGTTCTTCCGAATATTCAGGCTGTCCTATTGCCGAAAAAGACAGAGAAGAAAGCCTAAATAATAATAATAATAAGAAAATAACGTCAAAACTAGAAATCGGCCCTTCTCAGGGCCACACAATTCGTTTGTTGAAGAAAAAATAGAGATCATCGGATCAGGAAACAAAAAAAAAATCACGTAATATTTTGCCGATATTCCTTCATGCTGTTTGGGATTCAAGTAACAACAGCCCAATAACCGCATGATACAGTGTGATGTTACGTTTCTACGATACGGATCGTGACATGGAAAATGCAACAAATAATACCAATTCTTACTTACCGTAACATTTTATGTTTACCTAGCATCGATGGGTTGTGGAGCTCGACTATATGGAGATACCTTGGAGGGATAGTTACTTTCTAGAGGTACTGTCGGAATGATAGAACTTTATTCCAACGCAATTTTACATACAATGCCGCTAGTGTCTATAACGACAATCACGTTAACTCTCCCTCTCCCCCCCCCCCTCTCTCTCTGTCTCACACATTGCTCTTCCCCCCACTCCTCAAGGGTATGAGGTTGCCTGGAACAGGGGTGGTGGAGGGACCGCACAGGGTAGGAGGGTGTGTGGTGTGTGTGCGCGCAACATCAGTTCCGAGCTAGCAGCCGTTGCGAGTGTATACTTGCACGACTGCGACACACCCGGACATATTGAGCAATCTTATTGCGATAGATTGGTTGTTTGTCATTTACGATGGCGAAAATTGAGAAGCTGGCTAACCAGCTGAAAGAGAAGAAAGATGCTGTCGCCATGCTGGCAGAGCAGATGCGAAACCTGCAAGAAGCCTTCTTGCAAGCACAACAGGAGATCGAGGACCTGAACGGGAAGCTCCGCAGGGCCACGAAGAAGGCCGCAAAGAAGACCGAAGAAGGCGAGGCAGAGGACCACCAGGCTACGTCGGACGAGATGGACGCTCAAGAAGAGGACACCCAACGGACCGAAGAGGATAGGACCACGACAGAGACAGCAAGCAACGACGACACCGATTTCAGTGTCGCCACCAGACGGAAAAAAAAAAGCGGGTGCGAATTTCCTCCTCCGAAGACGAGACGCCAAGGCAGCCAAAGATGCCAGCTGCCGCCACCAAGAACGAGTCCTAGAGCAGCCAGGACCGCCGATGCAAACATGTGCCAACTGATCCAGAGCTATCTAACACAAAGACGGTTCGCGGTGAGGATTGGTACATGCCATTCAACACGACGACAGCTGGTAGCAGGCGTGCTCCAGGAGTCAGCCTCAGTCCCCCCTGCTCTACAACATCTATACTCATGACGTACCGAAGACAGCTCACACAATGCTGGCCCTATATGCAGATGACATTGCTATCGCCGCTAAGCATCGACGACCCGAGATTATCCGTAGCAGACTACAGGATGAACTGGACTGTTGCGTGAAATGGAAAATCCGTATCAACGTCCAGAAGACGCAGGCAATCTTCATCCAACGAAGAAGGATTGCAAGCCCTCTCGAAGCATCCATCATCGACGAAGATATCCAGTGGAGCGACAAGGTCAAATATCTGGGGATCGTATTTGACAAGTCCCTCACCTGGAAAGACCACACATAGAAGCTGTCATCGCAAAGACCAGAGCAGCCATGGCTCAACTCTACCCAATACTGGGTAGACACAGCCGGATGCCGCTAGCGACCAAGCTACGGCTGATCAAGGCCATCGCCAGACCTCAGCTCGCTTACGCCTCCGCGGT